TAGATTCACAAGGTGATTTTAGGCTGAGCACTTCACTGTCCAACTTGCAGGCAATTTGTCAAAGAGACATTGTAAACCCAAGGCGGTAAGTGGTATCTCTACTGAGACAGAAGAGGAATCAAAAATAAATCCAAGCTTATAAAAAAGCAATGTCTGCAAGGTAAGTTAGCTAAAGCAGATAAGAGAAAAGCGGTCTCTGACTCACAAAGATTGGAATGAACATATGGTTCAAGATATTTTAGAAAAAAACATTCAGACAGGTATTCACACTCAACTCCTTCTTCCCTTTCTGACCATTCACCTGGTATCTGATATTCATGGGTACAGGGAAGATTTAGATTGGCTATTCAGAAAAATTTCTTCACTGGAAAGTTTGTCAAACACCCGAATGGGATGCCCAGAGGAGTGGTGGAGTCACCGTCCATGGAAATATTTAAAAGACATGTAGATGTGGCAGCTGGGGTCATGGTGGACTTGGCAGTGCTGGGTTAACCATTGGACTTGATCTTAAAGGTGTTCTCCAATGTAAAGTGTTCTGTGAGTCTCTGAAGAAAGAGAAGTCTCTTCTTCATCTCAAAGGTCAAGCTCAATCTAGGCTTAATGAGTATAGCATTTCCCTGACAGAAAATAATATTTTAAAAAGCAGTTTACTGGTTTTCAATTATAATTTTAAATTCTGTACAAAAAGTTATTTTTTTATGTAGTGATAAGTCTCAACCTGAAAATTCCTCTCTTACATAATTCTACAGGATCAGTTTTGGTTTAAAGTCCCTTGCTAACTGAGCAGACCATAAAGTTACTTACAATGTGGGACTGCAGAATATTGGATATGATTTGAATAGTGGATATGATTTGAATTTTTCTTTAGACATCCTGTGAGTATCTACTGTTGAAATTAGACAGGGACCAAAACTTGTATTAGCTCTATAAACTGTACTATTTTGAGCAACCCTTTCAAAATGCTGTATGTACAAGGTTCAGAATTTTATTGTCAAAGAATAAAGATGTTTTATTTTAGAGATATTCCACAAAGAAACAGGGCCAAAATTTGACAAATATCCATTTCTTGCTGAGTTTTCAGACAGAGAGAGATTAAAAATAATAGTGTGAGAGTCTGAGAACTAATCTTGTAATCACAGAACAGGACATTTCTGCTGTCTCATCTGTAATACTTCCACATCTCTACCATAAATTTATGGTAGTCCTTTCCTTGGACAAGAAAGAATTTTTAGGGGGTATTAAGAAGAAAGTGGGACTATTAATGAATGAAGAAAGAGGATGCAACTATACATAATGTTTAAAATATTGAATTCTCTGTTCTATTCTTCCCAAGACCTCCACCCCTCAAAATAACCAGTCAAAAAAAGAAAAAAAAAAAAGAGAGAGAGAGAGAGAGAGAGAGAAAAAAACTCTGAGCTGTTATAAATTTTTATAAATGTATGTAATAAAATAATTAGGCATAAAAATGGAGAAAATGCATTGGAAAATAATCACTATTAATCACTATTTCTAACATTCCTGTCGATGAGGTGACATGCAATTTTCTCAGGTAAATTTGCATCCTGAAGTTCTTTAAACACAACAGAAAATTTGGTATTGACTGCAAGACCCTAAAGATACTAGTTATTAGCAACTTAAAATAATTTTTTATGTACTGGGGAACACCTGGGGAAACATGAGAATATATTTTAAAAAAACCATTTATTTTCTAAAATGGTAAGGAAATAGTTATGCTAAGAACCGGCTGTAAAGCACATATGCTATTAACTGAAACATAGCAAACTAAATGGTATAACAGTTTCTGTATGTCTTAAGAATGAATTTATAAAGCATATAAATAATTAAGTAAAAATAGTGATACATTAAGTAAAAATCACAGAACAAAAAATACATTAATATATATAGGGTTTTCTTTTAAACATATCATATAGACCATAGTATGGAAATAGTCAGTGATGTAGTACACAGAATTAAAACAAAAGTTTGAGTTGAAAATTATTGTTTTGACATTAATACTCTTAATTTAAAATGGTGAATTACCTCTTCCTCACATAGTTATGTTTAAACTTCCAAAACAGAAGCAAATACCAGTAGCTGAATAATTTTTCTAAAATTAGTTTTGGTAAAATTGAATTAATTAGCAGGTACTACCTGCATCTCTTTGCCTCTCTTTCAAAGGTGTTCCTACAATTTCAGATCTTTAAAAGGAAAGGGTATTTCAAAATTAGGTAAAAGTTACTTTGAGAAAGAACAAACCTACATTTTTAAATACATTACAAATATTTTTTTCTGCCCCAAAGTTTCTCCCAATGTAGGTTTCTTCCCTCCTAAAAATAAATAAATAAACAAACGAACAAATAAAAAAGTTTTTGAAAACCTGACATTATTAAAGAGAAAATTACCACCTCTGGGCATTTTATAATGCTGCTTACAAGCTGCTTTTACCTCCACAGCACATTAAGAAGAATTACGGATTTTTTTGTTAAACCGCACAACAAGTTCTGGAAACTCGTGAATTGATATGAAACTTGATAGATTCTGTGGCTGCTAAGATGAAACAACACAGAGTGACAGGCACTGTCACTACATCTACCTACGTCTCCCGACTCACCAGCCAGATGAGCTGAGTGCAGCCCTGCAGTGTCCTGACAGACTGGAGCAGTACATCATTAATGTTATTTATTTGCACTGCTTTAACACTTGGCACAGAACACGGATCAAAACAAGACAGCCCCTGTCTCGGAGAGCTCACAGTCTAAATATAGAAGCTGAAACAAAAGATGAGTGTAGACAGACAGGGAACAAAGAGAAAGCAGTGAGACGTGGCTGATCTTGCCATATCAGGAGACTTATGTTCTTACTTTGCTTTGTTTTCACAGAACTCCTCGGAGTAATAAAGTGAAGGAGGAATTTGGAAAAGGATAAAAGAAACATTTTTCAGTTGTTTACAGAGACATCCTCCCAAAAGACAGCAGGATTTAAAACACAGAGTTTCTTGTATAAAAGTCAAATAAGATGGCATCATAGATTTAGTAGGTGCAGAAATGACCTTTTGAAATACCAAGGTGTCAGTTGAATTATTTTGTTTGAATCAACTGATTTAAAGAAAGAAAAACAGGACAGTATCATGACTCCCCAAATATTTTTTCTAATTATTTGTGGAATTGTTTGAAGGTTTGTTTCTTTGAAGGCTTTTAGGATTTAGGAAAAGAAAAATGAAATAGAAAAGGAAAAAGGAAAAAAGTGAATAGGGATAGGAAAAAAAGTAAAGAAAAAATAGTAAATAATAGAAAATAGAAAATAGATAGAAAATTGGAGAAAGAGAAGGAAAAAGAAAAAGGAAAACAAAAAGGAAAAGGGAAAAGGAAAAAGGAAAAGAAAAAAAAAGGAAAAAAAATTAGAGGGATGAATATGAACTAAAACAGTTTAAATTATTGACAAAGGGGATACCAGAGTTTAATGGATTAAAATATTTCTTCTGAGCACTAGTAACTGTGTGTGATGTGATCTTGTCTTGGGAGCAGACTTGCTTAGCCCTCTATCATTTGAGAGTACCGGAGGACAGATCTCTATTCCCTTTCCTCCACACAATGCCTGGCTCAGTTCAGGCACTCCAGCATGTCTTTAAATCAATAGTCAAATGGTTCAGTGCAAGACTACAGGGAGGTCATAACCTGGAATCACACTATCAAAGTCAGGGGATTTTCTGTGATATAAAACTGTTGTTAGACAAGAAAGGAGCTATGAAAATGTACTTCAAAGAAAACATAAAGTTTATTTGAGGCAACCTAACTACTGAATTACATTTCCTTTCAATTTTATTTGTGTGACTCTTTCACTTCCACAGCATTCTTTACTTCTAAAGAATGTACTAGCCCTAGGGATTGAAAACAAGATGGTTTTATTTTTGTTTTATTTTGCTGTTGATATCAGCTCTTTTTTTTAATCTGTGATAAATACACATTAGCCTATATTTTGCTTAATTCCCAGTACACATTATTGCCTAAATTTGTAAAATGTTATAGATTTTGAAATAAAGATTTTATTAAAATTACCTGAATCACACTTTTTAGCAATTTTGTTTATTGATTTTTCTGAGACGCTATGTATATCTAGTAGAAATTATTTGATTTCAGAGAAACATTAAAAGTAGTATACTGATGTTACTTCTCAAATCCAATATTATGTCTCCCATAGTAGCCCAAATCCACAATGCCAGAGCTAAGTGCAAGACAAGCCAAATGAAAAGTGGTTAAAGTTCATGTCTCCTTACATTTTGATTCAATCTTTCATGCTTATATGTGTCTCTGTTTTTCTACTGCATCAAATAGCTCAATCACATTAAATGGTCTCCTTATGGACACTTCCACTATCTCAACAGAATGTAGGTGTATGTCTGGGGTAGAGCTAGTACAAAGCCCAAAGGTTTTGTTTTGCTTCTTGGCAAACATCTTATTGAAATGAAGGTGAGTCAGTAGCAGAAGTTACCTATCTGCTAAGGAGAGTTTCTTTCATTCACATAAAAATTAAATAATAAAGAAGGTACCTACAGAAAACAATGCTGAATTTAAAGAAGTCAGCTAGAGAGAAGAAAACCAAACCAAACCAAAACAGAAACCCCACACCAAAAGTAATTCAATAGCTTCACCTCAGTAAAAAGTGGATTAAATAAATGGATTTTTAAACATTATGTTGATAAACCTCAGGCTTAGCAGTTTCTTAAGTGGAGCCAAAGACAAACGTATGTTCTGAGTGATATCTTTATCTAAAAAATATAATAGTTCAACTGAAAATTATTGTAACAAAATGGCTGCCCGTTTACAGTACTTGTATTGTCAAAGATGACATTAATATGTGGACAAAATTAATTTTTCAGGATCTTTACTTTAAATATTTCCATTAAAATTATTCCTAATAGCTGAATAATAGTTGCATGTACATGTAACTTGGTGGTTTGCTTAGTAGCCCTTGTCACATCATCATTGTTTTTTGTCTTGCAGGTGCTATGGAGGAGTAATATCATCTGTTCCTCAAAGTCAGTGACAGACTGAAACGATTAGAAAGCCACCACCACTGAATTGAAAGACTTTGCATGACAGTTACAAGCTTTTCCCTATAAAGAGTCATATGCTCTTCACTCTATGAATCTAGAAGACAGACTGATAATATTAAGTGATTTATAAAGCCACAATCATATTTATTGGAAGTAGTGGGTGTGTTTTTCTGTGACTACAGCTGGACCTTTCACCTCCAACACAAATTCTTAAGCTTACTTGTAGCTGAGAGAGTGCAGTGTACAGGAAAAGTTCTTTTTATGGGTTAACCATAACTCTGTACCATAAAAGAGTTGACTACTGTAATAAGCATGGAGTGAACACTACAGAGAAGGAAGGGAAACCTGTTTCCTCCAAATGCCTTCCTGATTTAAACTTTTGCTCTTTTCTATAGTTTGTTTTTCATTCACATCTGGCCTACCAGGCATGTATGTGAGCACAAAAGGCAGCTTCTATCAGAAATAAAACATCATTTATTAGCTCTTCTGATCTAAACAAATGTGAATAGAGATTTTCACTGTCCTCATAACACTCATTAGGACAAAATTACAGTAAAAGGAAACTACCATCAGCTTTCAATACAGTTACAAAAATTCTGAATTAAGGTAAATTCAGTAAAGAATATATGCAATACAAAATGTATATAAATTGACTTTTAAGACCAGAGAGTACTTATTGAAATGCACCTTTGAGAATACGAATGTTTTACCTGAATCAAGGCTGCACTTGTGAAAAGGAAAAACTTTGATTTCTTTAAAGTTTCGTCTAAATAATACACAACACAAATATTCCACCCATGGGTAGTGAGGAGTTAACTGTTTCTATAATTGTATTATCTGCTTTTTGCTCCAGGTGGGAGAACAGACTCATCTCACTGAGAAATGCACACAGGCACAGACACAGATCTTCACATGCTGTTTTCAGCACAGTTATATTTATAGTTACACAGTTTGAGACACACAACCATTTCGTTTCTCAAAGTGCATCTGACTTTGCATAATTAGCATTAAAGAATAAAGAGACAAAGTTTTTTTTTACATGTGGTCAGCTCCAATACAGCTATCTCTAAGAGAGAGGAATAATCCAAAGTTATTGTCCCCAAGTCTAACACACACATCCCACAGAAGGTGGTACATGAACAATGGACAAAATGTCAGTCCTAGCCCCAGATGAACTCAATGTCAATGTCTTCACTGACATTAATGGCAGAAGCTGCCATTCAAAAACAGCATGGGTTTATGTTAAGGCAAATTAGAATGACTGGAATAGATCTTCACCTGAAACAAATTAGCCTAGCTCCCACCGAGGACATGGTCCATCACCCCTACAGCACACAGAAGGTCCAGCAATCTAAGTGTACTCTGATTATCATCTTATTTCCTTGTGGATTTACATTTAGCTGTTGCCATGAGCATTTGATAAAGTGGTAGCACATGCCTGGGGGTTATAGGACATGTTACTGTAGCAACCAAAATAATAATTTTTTTTCATACCTTAGTAATAATTTCAAGTGAGATCAAAAGGTGATGGTGAAAGTCAAAGAAATCTGTCCAACAGCATGTCAGTGAAATATATCACATTTATGTCAAGGGTTTTGCAGGAAATAGCGTGTACTAGTTTTCCATTATAGCGGCAGAAACTGCACAAGGTCTAATGATCAAAAACATTGATTTATTCCTGTCACAAACCTTCAGTCCCCCCGGCTTCTAATTAAATCCATCTTACATTCTGCTCTGGTATGTAACCCTTCTGCTGTACACAAGATAAAACCACTTGCTATACCTCATGCCTACAGCCTCTATCATTACTCTGACAAAACATTACTCTCAAACAAAGGATCCAAGAGTGGTCCATGGGGACATGAGCAATATCTGAATCCAAAGAGATAGGACAGAGGGAGGGTCATTCAATCTCAGCATTAAGGTTTTATTATTTGTTGCAGAATTTTTTTACAACTGAAAATAAAATTCTGAGTGCTACATCTATCAGCTTTTGTGTACAGTTGTAAGATTAATTCTTGAATCAGAAAAAAACAAAATGCATACAGATAATGTGCTGGACATACAATCTACCAGGCTACTTACACAAATTATGACACATAAACTTAAGACAGAGGTCTTCATTCTGATAAGTCTGAAATACTTCACTGTCTATATCTAAGATTTTATTTCTATCTTTCTAACTACTGAGGACCTAGGTGGCTGTGGTTTCAAGAGGATAAATGAAAGGCAATACAAATCCTGTGTTGCCTTGTGTATAAATGCTTCATCCCCTGAAGCAAAATAAATAACAATTTTTTAAAAAACAAAATAAAACTAATATAACAAGCTCTTATTGTCGTTTTTCACAGCAGAGATCCTTAAATTAGAAACTTTAAAAATTATATTTTTCAATATAATATATTCAAGTGTCTGCATAGTTTTTTTCATTATACATTCACACATTGGTGTGTGCTGGCAGTAATGTGACAATTTATAATCCTAACACTTTTATATCTTAAATGATAACACTGTGATCTTTCATATTTTTTCAGATGTTGTTTTTCTGCTTCAGCTTGCCTGAAACACAAAATCTACTGTGTATTCAGATGGATACATGATTAAAATGCTGCAATGTCAATAAAATATTGCACCACAAATTAGAGATTATTTGGCTATTATTTAAAAGTAAAAGCTAAAAATCATAAATATGCCTCACTTCAAAGGAATTCCAGCTTTGGGTTTTCAGTGATTAGTTATAGATTCTTATTCATCTTCAGGAAACCCTATAGCATTCAGGTATTCATTTTATAGTATGGGTTAAGGAGTGTTTCAAGTGGAAGGTATTTAATAAAAGTAAAAATTCCATTCTGCGAATAATTAACTATGTTTAAATAAAATCACATATGTGCATATAGAATCATTCAAAACATAGTTTCCAATTCTATCCTTCTTGTAATCAAATTAATAAAACCCTGTCATTGTTGAAACAGAAGTGCTTAATACTAATTAATTTTATATTTTGTTAGAAATATAAAATGTCCAAGAGCAGAGTTAATTAAGCTTGTGTTATTTCTCCTTAGGCTAAGGAGAGGAGAAGGAACCTCTATTTCCATTAATCTGTATTTTATGCACCTGTGTTTCTAAATCAGTTAACATAATGGCATTTCAATATAAAATTTTTATAAGCAATAATAACTAAAGACCATGTAGCAGATTGAAAAGCAAACAAGAGTCAGTATACCTGTTATTCATTTTGTATGTTTTCTCTGACTTATCTTTACTCTAAGGAGAGAGACAGAGCTTGTATGAAACAGATTTTCAAAATATATCCTAGTAAAACAAAGAGTACATAAAACTTAACTCTAAATTTTTCAGCTAAATTAAAAGCTTTAAAGATCAGGGTAACCTGAAGTATGTATATAAATACATATTTTAATTTTGACATCGGATATGGTTCATGCTCTTAATGTCAAGAGTCGTGGGGGTTTTTCATTTTTCTTCCTTATTTAGTGAATATGAAAGTCACTGTTTTATAATTCAACAAATACAATCATTTTTTCTAATAGAATAACTAAAAATGTATTCCTTCATCCATGCTGGATTTTACTAATAGGCTTTCTTTTTATTTTTTTCTCCATTTGATTTATTTATATTATATATGGTTGACTGTTAACCAGTCACTGTCACTCAGTTTTGAATTATGTACTCAAATAGTCACAATGAGTTGCATTGTCATTTTAAAATACTGCATAAAGTGACAAATTTTGATACAATATTACTAAAAGCACATAATGCCTCAGGAATTCTTCATTTGTTTCCTATTTTGCTTGTCCAATCAATATGTTTTCTCTAGGAAGATCAACACCTGACTTTCTGTTTCTCTGAAATTCTGAACTTGTTTTGTGAAAGGGATGATATTGTGGTGATCGGTGCTAGGGAGATCAGTACTCCCTGGTAGTAAAAGAAAATCATTGCACAGAAGGACCACAGCTTACTACATGAATGAAGCAAAATACTTTGATTCATAAAGTATCTACTACTGTGAAATTAAGAGACCAATTCAAAGGTGATTTAATCAACTGGAAAACCAGGGTTTGTCCTCTCCTTATAGATGATGGCCAGTCACTGGGTTTCACCTGTAAGCCTTTATTAAACTCAATTGAGAAACCAATATATCATAAACCATATGGTTCCGATCCATTCCTAAATGGCACACATCACTAAGAACTATAAACTTGCATGAACAAACAAAAAGAGCATACATTAATCCTCTTACACATTTTATTATATTTTATCATTCAATGCTTTGGTGCGGAAACCTCTTTCCACACATTTTGGCCATTTCATTTATTAGTTTATTTAAGGCAGGTGATGTCTTTATGAGGCTGTATATTACCTAAGTCATTGTTTTTGTTTGACCCGGAAGTGAGTTTTTGGAAAAATTGTGGTCAAACCAATCAGTGGCCAGATTTGAAATTTTCACCTGTGGTGGCCACTGGGGATTTGGATACACCTCTGAGAACACAGAGGGGTTAAAAGCAGAGGATTCCCAGAGAACTTCCTCTTTGGAATCCGGTGTTGGTGAATGGAGTCTGACCTTCTCTCCCCTGCCCAGCTGCATCTGGGTGAGGGAGGAAGAGGCCATGCGGCCTGTGACGGATGAGCCCTGCAAGAGGCAGGGATGGAGGAGACCTGGGATGTTTGGGCAGCCCCCCCAGAGAGAGTGATAGAGACTGTGCTGGCAGCACAGCCGGCCAGAAGTGGGGGATGCAGCGAGAGAAGGTGCCCGGCAGCTGTGGGAGTCCTGGGCAGACAGAGGCAAAGATTTTAAACCCTTGCTGGAATAATGGAAACCTTAAAAATACTGATCCTCATGAATGAGAATGAGGAGAGAAATATGAGAGATGATGAAATGGGCAAGTGTAAGGAAAGTTGGAAGAGGTGAGAAGAATCCTAGGTAGGAAGAGATGATGGAGTGGCCTTGAGCTGGACTCTTTCTTGTATGGCCATGGACAGACCCGTGTTTTTCCCTGTGACCTGGAGATTGTATTTAGGGGGAGGCAATGCCTTGGAGTCAAGAGTGAAGCAGTGGCGTGAACAGAGACGGCTGAGGAGGGTGTGGGATGCCCTCT